GACTGACCACGTGCACCACCTGGCTCTGAGGCTCCACTTTGGCGTCCAGCAGCCGTCTCGAGGTCAGGATGCTCAGAGCGGGGCTCTTCTTCCTGATGGTACCGACCTATGTCCACCCCAACAGCCACACCAAAGCCCCTGGCCTTGTGCTTGCTTGCTTTTTCTCCCTCGGCCCCATCCCCACCTGGGGGCAGGTACCCGTTGAAAGAAAAAAAAATGTTTTTAATCAAATACTTGGAAGCCTGTGCTCTTAGTGACCATTATGTTGCAGTATAGAGGAGGAAAAACTTTTCTTCTACCCTCTTTGATTCATTGTTGGGGCCTGCAGATTAAACTGACAAAAGCCAAATTAACAGGAGAAAAATCATACAAATTTTATTGATGTTAATATTTTTATGTGCACTGGGGCCTCACAGAAAAGAAATGAAAACCAAAAGATGCAGCTTGGGAGTTTATCATTTTAAGAGAGGGCAGTAAATTGTGGAGACGTGACTAGACAGAGGAAAAGGGGGTTTGGGCCCTTAGCGCTGGCAAATTATGGGAAGGTCACTAGGCAATTGTGGTAAGGTTTGCTATGCAGACTCATCTCAGTGCTGTTTCTAATCTTCCTGGTCTTTAGAAGGGAACACCTTTAGGAATAGAAATTAATGTCGCCTTTACAAAGGGAAGTTTGTGCCCTGCCTTTAGGCAGAAAGGAATAGAGCAGAGAGCTCTTCCTGTGTGTGCTGTTTCGCAGTTACCTTCAGCTCAAAATAATCCTTGTACCAAAGAGGCACATTTTGAGTTGGCATATTCTGATCCCCTTCAACAGCATCATCTATATTTACGGACAATGAAAGAAGTTTTAAAAAAAAAATCATGTTTCATTTTGCATGCTGAAAGAAAATGGATATTATTGAGATCAAGGAAGACGATATTTTTCACAAAGAAAGAGTGCTGTATATTTATATCCCTGTGGCCTTGTTAGTTGGATCCTCTCCTGTGCTAAACACGTGATTACTTTATCTTTCATAAGATGTGATGAAGGTGAGGTGAAAGTAGTCTGCCTCTAAATTCAAGCTGCCTTCTGAGAGCCAGTTTGTGCAAGAGAAACAAGTTTGACTAAAGTGGAATAGTAACTAGTGTGTCAGTTGCAGTGAAGATAATTATTCAAAAAGCATTTCTATTGTCTGCTTCTGAATTAATAAAATCAAAAGATAAAATTGTTCTTTTTCTCTAAAGGGACTTTAGATGAATTTTAAAAAATGGATGATCCTAATATTGAACAATTATGATGAGACTAAAATTACTTAAAGAATTAGGAAAAACAAAAAAAGTCATATGTTTTTCATGTGCCTTGTTTTGAAGGAACAAATTACCTGCAGAAAAAGTGATTAATGTGATTTGAAATATACATACTAGAAGATTCACAGAATGACGCCTTTAAAAAGTCAGTGGTGCATTTAAAGTATTTTACTTACGTTTATTCCAAAACCTCTTACTGTTGAAAATAAGGTATAGTTTTATCCTCTTGTGAAAAATAAACGTGCAGCTTAATGACTCGGTAAACATCTGTTGAAAACCATCTGGGTACTAGGCTTGGGGTAGAAAAATGATGAAGTCCTGGCTACTGAGGAGCTTACAGGCCTTAAGGGGGCTATGACTTGTAAATAAGTATGCACAAGGTGTCCTTGATGGAGTGTGAATGGGGCTTGTCCTTGGGCAAAAGGGGGGGTGATTAATCCTGCGGTCTGGGTTAGAAGGCAGGAAGGCTTCAGTGAGGAGGGGAATTTGAGGAAAACCCGATTTAAGATGATTCCAATGAGACAGTGCTTGTAGGTAATCATAATAGTTTAATAATTTATATGTGTGGGTATTTTGTAGTTCTTATGAACATTTTTTTTAAATTTAGAAAACACTACAGCTATCTTATTAATCATGTACTTGTTAATATGATAGTAATAACTGTCTTATTAAGTGTTTTGAGAATCTGCATTCTGAAATGAAAACTGTTTCTTTCCCTCCATGTTAGTAAATTTAAAAACAAATAACCTTTTCACTTCAATGAATGGAAGAAATTTAAGATAGAGTAAAATGCTTTTTCCTGGAAGCTTTGGAAATAAATCAAGCGAAGGGCCTTAAAAACTGCATATATTTGATCCATGCACATTGTAATTACACAGTCCTTTCTTGGTTAATGGATGTTTATTCGAAGTACTTAATAATGATTTGCAACTATTACAGTAAGATTTGCAGGTCATCATTTCACTTACTTTGCTTTTAGAGCTTTAAAAATTTTAAATATGATGGGCTACTCTTTTCTAACTTCTTACTTCTGTTGAATTCCAATTTATAGTGACAAATGAAAAAACTTAAATAAGAGGCAATCAATCCAAATATCTACTTTGAGATCCTAAATTATGTTGTCAAAGGCTTACCATCTTTTGCATTTCCCTTGGAAATAGCTTTTATTTCATTGAGATACTATGCATATGTAAAAGTGTGAACTGTGTATTTATTTTCCCTTCAATGGTTGTGAATTAGGATTTTGTTCCTGTCTAAGTGATCTAGCAGTAGAACTACATTTTCTCCATCTGTTTTGCTCAGTTCATTGAATCAATTACTTATCTTACTTACTCTAGCTACCATTGAAGATCTGTTTTAAATACTGAGCATGTTTAACTTTGTTACTGAGTTAATCAAACAATATATTGAACATGTCAGTTGTTTGGAAGCCATTTAGGAGTGGGGAAAATTGGTGAGCCTTATAGGAATTGCAGAGACGGCCTTTCCTACAAAGCTTTTTGGGTTATGTTTATGTCTGCAAACAAAAGTAGAAAATTGTGGCATTTTAAGGTCAGCATGGTATACTAAATGGATTAAGCCAAAAAGTGGAGGTGTGGGATCTTCTTGAGCTGGTGGTGCCATTAACTGATCATGAGTCATTGAACAAGGCTCCTTGGTTTGTATATACCTCAGCTTGCTTCTGTGTGCAGTCAGAGAGCTGGACCAGAGAACGGCCAGGCGTCGTTCCTGTACCAGTGCCTGTATTGAGTGTCTTATCGTGACTTTAGATCATTATGCTTGGTTTTGTGGTTTCCTTTCCGCCCTCGCCATGCTTATTTTATTTTAAAATGAGATATATATTCAGTTTTATAAAAGATAAAATTTGCAGTGCTATGTTTTCTGTGATACTGTAATCCTGTGAAAAATGTCTATTTTATATTAAAAATTATTTATTTTTGACAAATAAAAAATGGTATATATTTAAGGTATGCATCGTGATATTTTGATATATGTATACATTATGAAATGATTATCACAATCAAAGTAAAAAATGCCTTTTAATAGCTTATTTGTCATTTACCTTCAAAGGCTGCAGCCTGGCGGTCTCATAATCAAGCTCAGAGCAAGAAAGGGAGAGGAGAGTCTCTTAGATGGTTCAAATATTGCCTTCAGCTTGGGGGCAGGCAGGTCGCCAAAGAGTGGTATTCAGGTTGAATCAATTAAACCACAGCCTTTAAATGTGAATATCCTATCCAAAGAAGTTAAGCCAGAAGTACTCTGTTGTGTAGCTGCAGTACTTTCAACTCGGTGCACCATACCCAGTGGTCTCGAAGCAATTCTGGCTGATGGGTAAAAGAGAATGGGGATTGCTCACAAGCCAGAACTCCACTTTTAACCCTGCGCAGATCAAACTATTGGTTTGGGGTTTTTGGGGTACTGATAAAATTTATTAATAAAAAATTATTGAGCACATATGTAAACACATATTACATGCATAGCACTGTATAGTTTTCTAAGGAAGGTTATAGAAACCTCAGTCTGAGTCCCTGGCCACAAGAACTTTGTTACCTAATTCCGTTTATCTACAGAGATGTTGGCTTCCTGTCCTTTTCTTTCTTCCGTTGTTAAGATATTAATGAGTAGTGTTGAGACCAAAAGATAATCACAGTGGATGTCTAAAAGGTAGATCTAAAAAGCCTTAGCTAGTTCATAATCTTGCATAATCCATGGTGACAAGATGCAGAAACAAAAATGCCCTGAATAAAAAAATACCACTGTTAGCAGTCATTTCTTTTGAAATCTTTAAAAATATACTTCTAATTTCTTTAAGTAACTTAGGAAATATTGAAGACATACAAAACTACAGACAGACTCATATAACAAGCAAGTATGTACCCACCACCCAGTTTTAAGAGAGACCGCATGACTGCTGGAGCTGAAACCTCATGTGAACCCCTCCTGTCTCACAGCTCCCCCTCTTCCCAGAAGTCACCCTTGTCCTGAACTCCCTCTGTTCTTTATAGAGATATAGAGAGTCCTGATCATGGAACCCTGTTTCCCAATGACTCACAGAATAAAGTTTTAATCTTTAACTTGATACTCAAGGAGACTTCTTACGTTCTGGTTCATATCTCCCTTCTGGTCTCCTTGCTCCAGCTCACGAACTCCGCGTGCAGCCAGTGTTTTGGCCGTGACATGACTCGGTGTACCCCAACAGGCCTCGGTTGCTGCCGCTTCTGTTCCTTTGTTCATCTGTTCATGAACATTCTTCCCTGATCTCGTCTGCTGAAACTGCACCTAATGAACACTGCTTCTGCTCTGCAGTTGACAGTGCTGTAAAATAAAGTGTACTGTGTTTTCATAATGTTTGCATTATGTCTCATTTCAGTTATTCTATGTATTCCTGTCTCTTCCACTATGCTGTAGGCTCTTTGAAGGAAGATATATCTTATGAATAGTGTTTCAGAGATTGTAAGCAGTCATTAAACACTTGTATTTTTCTCATGAGGGTATTGGTTATGCTCTTTCACTTTATGACCATTAATTTACCCTACAGTTAACTACTTTGTAAACATTTGCCATTTATGGTCTCTGAGGCTTCTAAGAGAAATCTAATTTTTGTTCATCAGGGGTGGAAATATTCATAACATCATATATTTGTCAATTTCTTGCATGTTACAGTAGTATGTGTTTTAAAATATCAAAATAATGTTTCTTTTTGTATTATCTTTTAGATATTGCTGTATGGAGATTTGCCAAAAAATAAAGAAAATATAATATATTTAGCAAATCATCAAAGCACAGGTTTGTATTTCCTTTGCATGAAACAGGTTTGTCTACAGAAAGTACATGGGCATTCAAAGTAAGAATATATATATTCTTATATATTTAAATGGAATTTTTTTGTTCTTATTGTTAAAACATGAATTTTCTGTGCAGATATTATACGTGACCTTGCAGTTTTGTGATTTTACTTTTTGGAAAGTCAGGAAGGTGAAAACTGAATTTTCCTGAACTTACCTTCTTTTGTTTCTTTGAATAGCTCCTTAAATAGTCTATGCATTCTTCCTTTTGTAAGTTGTGTTTCTGGAAGTGGAATTGCTGGGTCAAAGTGTATATACATTTTATATGTTTCACTGTTAAACTGCAGAAAGGTGGTACAATAAGTTAGTACTCATTTCCTAAACATGGTGTTAATTTCTAATGTCTGCAGCTCCCTTTGCCTCTTCAGATGTTTTGGTTTAATTATAGCTTGCTCCTCTATCAGAGGAATCATAGAAGACTTTGATTATGTGCAGTATATACTTTATATACTTTAAATTAGGTTAAGGTACTGTTTTAAGAAACTTCATTTTGAAATAATTTTAGATTCACAAGAACTTGCAAAAATAGTACAGAGTCCCATGACCCTTTCACTACGTTTCTCCCAATGGTGACATGTTACATGAACTACTGTATAGTATCAAAACCAAGAAACTGACATTGGTTAAGATACTTTTTAGTTCTCCAAATAATTCAGTTCAAAAAAAATCCCACTTCATAATTTTTTCAAACCTATAACTGCGTTTGATGTACACTTCCTAAATTCTATTTCTATGACTTTAAAAAGTATGGTACCCAGATGTTCAAAGCTAGAAACAATCTGATCAATGATAATATCTTAATGGAAAAATCACTTAGGTCTCTGGCTTTCCTTTATCTTCCTTCTGTCAACTCTGTCTCTTCATGATTTTGTTGCTTTTATTACTACCTATGCCACAGATAAGGTAAAACAAGTAAAAGAAGTTGAAATGCATTTTTATCAATTTAGCTTATTAATGATATATTCAGTTTTATAGGACAAGAGTTGATGCTACAAAGGGTTGATAGGAATTTTGATGTGTCTGTGTGTTTCCCTAACTTTATTAACGTGACAGGTTCAGTCTATTTGACTTAGTTACATTTGCCTTGAGCAGAGCAACCAGTCCTACAGTCAGTGCCTGCCCCCACCTCTGGCCTGTAAAGCAGCCTGACTTCTTCCTGTGTTTTGACTGTTGTTCCTCCAGACATACTGGGTTTTTTACTATTAACACAGTCGTGCTATTCCTGTCCTGTTGTTGATGGCATATTTCTACCGGGGTTCCAATATCCAAATAAAAATGATTTATGGGACCAGGGCAGGGAGTGGCCTATGAGAGCCAAATTCCCTTTATGTTGAGCCACTGGTTAATTTCGTTTAGTTTTCTTTCTGTTTAACAGGATGCTCTCTTGTTCAGGTTCCCTGCCAATTTTCCTTTTTCTATGTTTCGATGGAAATACTGTTCTATTGACAGAGCTGTGGTACTAGAGTGAATATGTGGAATAAGTTCTGTGAGCATTGCTGGAGGTGGTAGTAGTAGGAACAGTAATAATGAAATAGCGTCCACTGCTATCATTTGTGTGCATACTATGTATGTGTGGCCTTTGTGTACATTACTTCCAAGTGAGGGCTTTTGGGAAATCATTTGGAAGAAAACAGATTTTTAAAATTCTTCTACTTGTGTTTGGAACTGGAAGATAATATGGGAAGTGTCAGCCCTACAGTCAGCCCCCAGCTGACCTGAAAAAGTTACATTTCTCAGTGCAGAGAACCACTTCCGCAGCCCCCTCCCTGACCTCTGAGTGCCTGTGACTTCCTAGTACAGGTCCCACACCAGGCAGCCTTCAGGATTTGGGAGTTAGAGAAGCTTGTTTTCTTCCTGGTTCATGCTGCTTTTGGATCACTTCGATGGTTTGTGGCTTTTGCATTTTATCCCTGAAATAAAAAGCCTTTCAAGAAATGCAAAAAGAAAAAAAACCCCACCAACAGAAAACAAATAAAAAACCAGAATTTAGGGGCCGGCCCGGTGGTGTAGTGGTTAAGTGTGCGCGTGAGCTTCGCTTCCGAGGCCCAGGGTTCGCAGGTTCGGATCCCTGGCACACACCGATGCACCGCTTGTCAAGCCATGCTGTGGCGGCGTCCCATATAAAGTAGAGGAAGATGGGCACGGATGTTAGCCCAGGGCCAATCTTCCTCAGAAAAAAGAGGAGGATTGGCAACGTCTTCCTCACAGAAAAAAAAGCCAGAATTTATATTGTTTAAATGTGGTTGATCTAAGGTAATTTTAAAATTCTAATAATTTTTTCAGAGCATATTCTTAGTACGGTCTTGTGACGAGGTCTTCTCTGTCTCTGAAGGATGCTGGACCTCACGTATGGGTCATTTGTGCACTAATGGGTTCTGTCTTTGCAGTCGACTGGATTATCGCGGACATTCTGGCCATCAGGCAGAACGCTCTTGGGCACGTGCGCTACGTGCTGAAAGACGGGTTAAAGTGGCTTCCACTGTATGGGTGTTATTTTTCTCAGGTAACTTTTTTTCATTATATAGATGTAGCTTATAAAAATTTTAGATTTGAACATTGAAAATACACTTATATGTATGGGGGTTTTTGGTTTATTTTTATGGGATTAATAGTTTATTCTAAATTGAAGTAATTTTATTTGGGATTTTCAGTGGTGTGTATTTGTGTACATGTCTGATAACCCAGTTAAATAGCAAAAATGCAAATGTACAAAAATCAAGCAAATAGGAAAATTTAAAGGCATAGAATTTGATAGACGATTACCTTAAGAAACTAATAGTAAAAGTAATTATGATCTGTAGGATATAAAGAAAAGTGAGCTATACATATAAAGTACTTAGCGTGAGTGTCAGGTATGTAATGAGTATTCAATATATGTTATTTTCCAAAATGCCCTTTAAAATTATATAATAACCATCAGGTCATGAAACTCTGTGTAACAGGCTCTTTTATATTCAGAAGGGGATTACTAGATTTTTTCTATGCCTTTTCTAAATAAATTATCTGACGTTATTTTTTAAGTATTAAGTGTGAAATTTGTGTGGAAGACATGCTTGTTAATAAGATTTTCATAATTGACTAAAGAAGAAAGGCTAAAGTTATGGTGAGCTCTGACAATATGTAAATCTGAGAGTCATCTCATGAATAAAAGATAGCAGGACCCCCAATTCATGTTACCCGTAGGTCGAATGATGGAGTGTTATGTTGTGTTTGAAGTCAGAAGGCTTGAATACTCTTTTCCTCTTTTCCAGAGTCTTTTAAAGGAAAATAAAATTCGTATATATTTTGATGAAAAGTATTTTAAACTACTGGGTTCATATAAAAAATGGAATAGATTATGAAGTAGTGGACTTACGTCAAGAAGTGAATTTTTCTTTTAAAAGGACTTGTTCACAATTTGTATGAAGCGGAAATAATGCTGTTCACAGCTAGTTATTTACAAGCAAAATATGAGGAAACAGACTTTCAAGTTTTGTATTTCTTGTAACTATTGTATTTATAAAATACTAAGTATTTTATATATATAGACAAATACATGTTAATGTACAGATATTCAGAAAACTAAGCATTTCCAAATGGCCAGCTGTGAACATTGTAAGGTGTAGTTTGACTTTAGAATACATAACAGAGTTCTGCATGCTCCCCCCACCAGTCAACCAAAAGCAGGTGTCTTGGGAACCTTACTGTTGTGTTAAATTAACAAAAAAAAAGTGCAGTGGAGAGCTTTTGCTTATTTAAACCCTGTGAAGATAACTAGAGATATGTATAACAGCTGTGACTGACCTCTCATTTAATCACTGATGTTATTTATAACTGTGCATCTTTTTATATTCTTGTGTAGTAAAGCTGATGGTATTTTAAGTAGGTCACAGTTGAGTATTAAATAATGTATGAATTAAAAATGCTATTCTTGTCTTTACTGAAAGAGATTTTTTTTTTCTCCCAGTGGTTGTATTTTTACATTTTTGCTTGTGTTTATTACTTCTCCCTTAATTGTTTTAGACACAAAAGTCACTATTATACTTCAGCAACATTTAAAACAGAGTATTTTGGACTTCATTAGACCCTCTTATAAAATGATGAACATACCTATAAAGTTTAAATGATTTTATAGCAAATATAATCACTCAATAATTAAGGCAACTTGAGGAAGGCTTGAAGTTTAGAAGTACTAGAGCAAAGAAATGTGGTTTATCTGAGACTTTGTTGCTAAAGCATGTTCTCCCATGACCAGGAGTTTGAGTGAGGTAAAGTTTTTTTATGTGGAGGGAAGAATATTCGTGAATAGGTTCTATAATGTTTTGGAATTCTAAAGGAACAGGAAATCAGAGCACCTTTTGAATAAAAAGGCAATTTATACCCAAAGTTCCCAGTCAGGGACTTTGTGTCTCAATTTCCTTTTTTCCTTCATTTCCATTTTACCAGGATCCTTTCTCTGTCTTCCCCTTCTTGACCTTCTCTAGCCCAAGACAGGCTGAGTTCTCAAAAAAATCACAGCAGTTTTATGAAATATTTGAAGATTAGTCTTAACAATTCAGAGCCCTTAGAAGGATGCCTGATTTGGGGGATTGGTAGAATTAACAATTCAGAGTCCTTAGAAGGATGCCTGATTTGGGGGATTGGTAGAATTAAACCGTTTAAGGAATGATCTGGGGAGTTATTGCAAAGAGTAGACTGGGGCTCTTGGATCTTTTTTGAGAACATTAAGCTCTCATCATCAACCTTGGAAGTTTTTTGGTCTGTCTGTTTTACTCACTTCAGACCAAACTGACACTGTAGAATTACTCTTGAGGCTCCTAAAGTTGATTGGAGCTTCAGCCAGGGTTACTTTGTAGCCTAGTTTGTGCCCTGCTGACTACAAAGTGTGACGTCAAGGCCCCATGAATTTTACTTTAGTTTTTGACTGAACAGAAGTGCCCTGTTCTCCTGTTTCTCTGAGAAAGAGAATCAAAACAATGTGGGTGTGCTCACCACCTACCCAAACTCCTAGTGGTGCCGAGAGGTGCTGATGAGCTGTAATGAAATTTGGATAGAATTGGCAATTTCCACCTTCAGCCTTCAAAACACTTTATTTGCTTCTCAAACCATAAATTTGGTCAAGCCACTAATCTGCTCAAACTTGTGTGTTTCCCAACTGCATTAAGTCCCAATTCCCTTGCATGACATTCATGATCTACCATGATTTATCTCCCTGTAATCTACCTTTCTGTTTCTGGCCTTAATCTGTTTCTCATCTCCCTATCCTTCTTCAAGCTGTTCCTTTAGTTTAGGATAAATACCCTTTCTACCCTGCCTTTGAGGTCCAGTTCAGATGCCATCATGAAACCGTTCCTAAGCCTACCAGTTACTCTCTTTCCTCTGTCCTGCTTTTATGTTTGGCTATTTTTATTGTAACACTTACCAAATTCTCTTTATAGCATACTTGTATACATATTTATACATATGTATACACATAATAAGTCAGTGGAATTAATCAGTAAGTTCCTTAAGGAAAGATACCTGGGCTTCCCTCCTGTAGCTTCCATATACCTGGGAAAGAACCCAGATGTTTTTGAATTAAAATAGACTTTTAATAAACAAGTTAAATGACAGGGAAGTAATAGTGTGTAAAGAACAGACATAATGTCTCTTAAAGCTTGGGGACATTTTACATTGCAGTGTATGCATTCTGTGGCTTTTAACTGAAGAGATGGTAAAGAATGAACCTATTCTCATCAGTCCTCTCTATTGGGTAAACAGTGACAGGCATTCTGTAGAACGCTGTGAGTTTCTTCTCTGCACTGAGGCAAGCCAGTTCATGTGGGAGGAACCACGATCAGATTGGAAGGCCACCTCTTCTCCTCTCCTCTATACTGTCTATTTCCTTGCTTCTCTGTGTCCATTTTCTTTTTACTCATATTCTTGACTAAGACAAAATCAAAGTCCACCAGTTGGTATATTTTACAGAGGAGTTCGCGTTAGCACAGAGGAGTGCAAATAACATGCTGACCAGATGCAAAGTTTCAGTGAAGTGATGAAGTTTAATTAAGGATACCTGAATTTTTATGAAAGTACCTGTGTTAGTCTTCTAGAGCTGCCATAACAAAATACTACAGACTGGGTGGCTTAACCACCAGAACTGTATTTCCTCACAGTTCTGGAGGCTGGAAGTCCCAGATCAGAGTGTCAGCAGGGTTGGTTTCTCCTGAGGCCTCTCTCCTTGGCTTGCAGTTGGCCGCCTTCTCCCTGTGTCTTCCCTCTCTGCAAACACGTATGTGTCCTAATCGCCTCTTCTTATATGGCACTAGCCCACCCTTATGTCCTCATTTAACCTTAATTAACCCCCCGAAAGGCCTCATCTCCGGATACCATCACACTGGGGGTTAGAGCTTCAGCAAACAAATTGGGGGGAACACGATTAAGTCCATACCAGTGCTACATAAATATCTAGTTGGGTCAGTTTTTAAAATCCCCAAAGATTGCGAGTGTTGACATTTTAAGGACACTTTTTAGTGATTCTGTAATAAGTCAGTAGAGAAATTGGGAGCTAAGATCCATCTGATTGATTGTGTTTTTGATTTTAAAAAATGTATTTTTAAGAAAGCAAGCACTTTTATTTTAACTGTCAACGAAACTAAATGTTCATGTATTTTTCAGTACAGTGCAGCATGCAGTTTTGTTTGAATTATGTTGAAACAGAATTTTCAGCTAAATGTTCTTTAGATACTAGTATTTGACTGTATTAAATATAGTTTAATTTCTAAAATGTAATTTTATTCTACAACTCTTTAGGAGTAAAGTTACCTTTTTGCTGACCAGCCATTGGGTATTTTAATAGTAAATACTTTTCTCCCCCAATTTTTTTTATGTGGCAGCATGGCGGAATCTATGTGAAGCGAAGTGCCAAATTTAATGAAAAGGAAATGAGGAACAAGCTGCAGAGGTACATGAACGCAGGAACTCCAGTAAGATTACGCTCATTTTTATTATTTTCCTTACAACTCTCATTTTTTAATTTAAGAATCAAATTAGAATTTAAGAATCTTTTTGAAAATGTATTATCCCATGCATAATAAATAATTTACAGTTTTGTAGAGGCAATAAAACCTTCTAAATAGAGGTGAGCAGTTCTTTTTAGCCATCAGAAAGATCACTGCAGACAGTTCGGCTTTGCTGGTGGTTGTGTCAATATTGACCTTCAAGAGGAATAAAAAGAAGAACCTTTCGTTTCTTTAGTCTATAAATAGAAAACAGAACTGCACTCGTAACCTTACACGTCAGCTACTTAAGAGCTCCTCTAACTCCTCGTCTTTAGTACCAGATGTAGTTTTACAAGAAACAACTGTTTTCTGTCTCTTAGTATAAATTTGGATTTCTTGTACATATTGAATTATTTGAAAAGCCCAAAATAGTACAAATATCTACAAAGAATCATTCATTGTAAATATTATTTTATAAAACTTTGCTCCCCAAAAAGGAATCTTAATATTCTCTTTGAAGAATGCTAATTGCTGCCAGATGACTTCCCCCCCAGGCTCCCTCCGGGACAGGGCAGCCTGCCTGCAGTGACTCCTTGAGCTTTGTTCAGTACACTGCATGGTTTTCTGTCCCGTTGTTCTGAAACTTGGCTCACGGGCACAAGTTCCTTTCTTTTTTTCCTTTCTTGTCCCCTCTGTCCTCTTCCTCTCTCTTGCCCTCTTTCTCCACTTTCCTCTCTCTTCTCTTCTTTTCTGCTCCTCACCAGGGCTCATAGATGGCAGCCAGAGCTCATATATGAGTAAGACTTTTCCACCATCAGCTGTTGAAGTGCCCTAATGTTCAAGTTTTTGACTTATAAACGTTCTCTGGTTGTTTTTACCTTACGAAATTGCATCCTGTTTTGGGATGACCTGGAGTAGAATGTAATGAGATGGACAGTGCCCCTTTATCCTGTTAGTGCTCACCCTTGAGAGCACAGCATAGCCTTTTGAAAGGGTCTTAGTGTGAAACAGTTTGGTATGTTTTGGCAGAATCGGGGTCATTGTTTATTGATCTCTATAAGAAAGAATAGATTGGTAGTAAGTATATTTACTTTCTTTTCAAGCAATCGTTTACACGTTAAAGAGTCCATCACACCTCTCCTCTCCAGCCAGCAGTCACCACAGGCAGATAACTGCCGTGAGGTTTCTCGAGTATTCGCTGTAGGCCGAGTATAAGTCAGACAAAGGCATACTGTCTCTGTTTTACGTGAATTTTAGTGTTTTAGACGCAGTTTCCCTTTGCTTGCCCCCTGGTAAGACAGTTGTCGATAGTGCCGAGGTTGAGAAGCTCTGCTCTGGTGCTGTACGTCTTTTCTCTGGCTGCTGTCGTCAGCTTCTGGTTTTCAGCAGTGTAAGTATTCACATATGAGTGTAATCTTTTTTTGCCCTCTGTGTTTATCCTGGTAGGTCTTCCCTGAGCTTGAGTCTGTGGTTTGGTGTCTGTCAGTAATTTTGGAACATCCTTGGCCATTGTTTCTTCAAATGTTATTTCTACCCCTTCTCTCTCCTCCAGGTGCGTGTGTTGTGGGCCTTTTGACCTTGTTCCACAGCTCTTGAATGCTTTTTTCTGTTTTTGTTTTGTTCTGTTTTTTCACTCTTTTTTCTTTTTGTGTTACCATTTGGGTAATTTCTGTTGACCTGTCTTCAGGTTCACTGATTCTTGCCTTGGCTTTGCCTGGTCTCCTGATGAGCCGGTCAGGGGCATTCTTCATCTCTGTTACTGTGCTTTTCAAACCATCACCACAATCAAGATAATGAACATATCTATTACCTGTAAAAGTTTCCTCGTGTATCTTTCTGCCTGTTCTATCCCAAGGCAGTCACTTTCTGTGATCTGCTTTCTGTCACTATAGATTAGTTTGTATTTTCTAGAATTTTATATAAATGGAATCATACAGTTTGGACTCTCTTTTTGAGAGTGGACCTGGCTTCTTCCACTCAGCATAATTATTTTGAGATTCATTCATATTACTGTATGTATTAATAGTTTTTTTCTTTTTACTGCTGAGTAGCATGTTGTTGTATGAATATACCAAAACTTGTTCCAGTTTGGGGCTATTGAAAATACTAAAAACTCCTCAGAATATTCCTGTGCAAGTCTTTGCATCTGTGACTTGCCTTTTTATATTCATAACAGTGTCTTGAAGAACAAAAGTTTTTAATTTTGCTTAAGTCCAATTTATTGATTTTTCTCTCATAATTTCTACTTTTTGTGTCCTATTTTAGAAGTCTTTGCCAACCTCAAAGTTATTAAGAGTTTCTCCTATGTTTTCTTCTGGAAGTTTTATAGTTTTAGTTTTACGTTTAGGTCTATATTCATTTTGAGTTCGTCGTTGTATATGGTGTAAGGTCAAGGTTCATATTTTTAAATATGAACATTTGCCACCACTTATTGAAGAGGTTATCCTTTTCCCCGTTGTTTGAGATAAGTTGACTGCATATATATGGGTATATCTCTGGACAGTTTATTCTGTTCCGTTGATCTGTGTGTGTGTCCCCAGGCCAATACTATAGTGTCTTGATTATTCTTGGTTATAATACGTTTTGAAATCTGGTGTAGTTAAGTCTTCTAAATTAGTTCTTTTTCAAAGTTGTTTTGGCTATTTTAGGTCCTTTGCATTTCCAGATAAATTATAGAATCAGCGTGTCAATTTCTACATAAATGGTTGCTGGGCTTTTGATTTGTATTGTATTTAATTTGTAGATCGATATAGGAGGAATTGATACCATAACAATATTGAAACTTTGAATCTATGAACATGTTCTATATTTCTGTTTATTTAGGTCTTCTTTAATTTCTCTCAGCACTGTTTTGTAGTTTTTCAGTGTATAGGTTTACATATCTTTTGCCAAATTTATCCAAATTTGCCAAAATGTGAAATTCTGAATTTTATATTTTTTGATGCTGTTGTAGATGGCATTGTTGTTTTTATTTTAGTTTCTGATTGTTGATAGCAGCTAGACATAAGGATTGATTTTTATATATTGACTTTATCCTGTAACCTTGCTAAACTTACTTATTATCTAGTAACTTTTAAAAAATATTCCTTAGGATTTCCTATATAGAAAATCATGTCATTTGTGTATAAATACAGTTTTACTTCTTTCTTTTTAATCTGGATGCCTTTTATTTCTTTCTTGCCTAATTGCCCTGGCTAGAACCTCCAGTACAGCCTTGAATAGAACTGGTGAGAGTGGACGTCCTGCCTTCTTCCTGATCTGTTGGGGAAAGAATGAGCACTCATCCTTCTGCTGTTCTTTAGGTCTTAGTCCCTTCATCCATTCTTATTTCCCTCTTGTCGTCCTCCTTCATAACACCTTGTTCTTTTTCTTCATAGTCTTATGATGTGTAACTATATGTATTTTTTATTTGTTTAATGTACTTTTTCCTCATTTGTCTTCAAAAACCATATCTGTTTTGTTATCCTATGTATAATACCTGGCACATAATAGGTGCATAAGAACTACTTCTTGAATAAACCCTGAGTGAATACTCATTCCTGCTTTCTGGCTGACCATCAGTCTTCTTAAATGAAACATCTAAGGGACAGAAAATAATACCAGATGAGTTATTATTAACCATTCATATCATGAATCATTTTGTTTATAAATACTTGAGCTAAAAGCAATAATCATCCGTAATTGCTTTCTTGGCTTCGAATATAAACTTTACTGATTTCAAATGTATTCTCATCAGAATGAATTTGTGGTTTTTGAACTAATTTTAATATTTTTCTTCTTCTTTCTTCTAGTTGCTGGAATATAATAAGAAATTCTTAATGTTTTTCTTAATTTTACCCAGCTTTTTACATTTTCTCGACCACTCTGACTAATCTTCATTATTGAATATAAACATACATAACAAAACCTATTAATTTCTGAGTTAGGCAAAGATAGTGGGTTCTAATGAATGAAAAGCTTATATTTTTGCTTGGAAGCTAAAAATGCAAAATTGCAGAGCCATCAGTATACCAGTTTTTCAGAAGAAACTTTGGAAGAGATTAATCATAAGTTTGTGTAATGAAAAAATTTGAACTCTCACATAGGTTCATTAAGTAGGATTCTAACAATCATAGGTTATTCAGATAAGGGAATGCTTCTGTCCTGGATGTGTAGGTAGACGGTGTTATCTAGGATCTGGTGAGGATGGGTAAGGTGAACATAATTTTCTTCCATGAGCTCCTTCTATCCCTTTGTTTCCTATATTATGTTTGTATTTCAAAAGATTTGATAGGAATGTCTTATTTTTGTCTTTTGACTATCAATTAAACATGTTGGGATAGTTTTTATAACTCAGTTCTAAAGTCAGGAGTTTTTTACTGTATAGTTTTACTGTTTCTGTTTTTACTTTCCCAAGTAGATAAATGTAAAATCTTAGACTAATTGATTACTTAGCAAACATCCAGCTTGATATTCTCCTTTATTTCTAAGTACATTATTTCAATTTATGAAGCTGCTTATAAATTGAGTCATTTAAAATGCATTAAGGGGGCTCTATAAAATAGGCATACTGTGTATCTTGTGTAGTGTGAGCACTTATTACCCTTTATATTGTGGAAATTTTGATATTTATATTTAGTTTTTCTCAAATGTGATGTACGTTTAGTATTGATACTTAGGGACATTGATTTCTAAAATTTGTACCTTTTTAAAATGTCATTTTGCAGACTCTTAGGGGGGAAAAAACCTTTAATTAATTAATTGAGGCTTTGTATGAGTTAGCATTTCATGGCCAAATTTTTACTTAGTAAATATTAGCATGTAATTAGAAATGTTGTTAGATTCTTAGTGATTGACCTACCAGTGAAAGTGGGACTGCACTTTAAATATAGGCCATGCTATGTTATGACTTAAGTGAATTTTTGCATTTTGGTTGCTGTGCTTGAAATGAAAGTCGTATGTAAATGAATCCCTGTAGGAAATACTCTCTTAGCTTTAACAGGATTAGCGTTGGTAAATTAACAACAATAACAGAAAAACTCACACAAAATAAACCAAATTTTCTTTATGCACCACAGATGTATCTTGTGATTTTTCCAGAGGGAACAAGGTATAATCCAGAACTAACAAAAGTCATTTCAGCTAGTCAAACATTTGCTGCTCAAGAAGGTAAGTAAAAATTTGACTGCATTTGAAAAAATATTTTTTAAAAATAATGAGTTTTAAATTTTTCTTCCTGGAGAAGATATTTATGTTTTACAACAATTGAAATGAATGGTTGTATTCATTCCTTGAATGAATGTGTGTTATCTCTTAGGAAATGAAGTTTCTTCTCATTAATTAATGCATATTATTTCGTATGTCTGAAAGATTAAATTCAAGTACTTGCTCAAATATATGTTCCAGTGCTGTGGATTTAGTTAAAATCTATCTAGGTGATGACTATGTTGATAGACCTTTTTCTACAATGTGGGTTTGTGTGATGGAAAGAGTTTCTGTTCTGCAGGCTGACAGACTGCAGCTGAAATCCAGACTCTGACATTTATTAGCGCTATGGTTGCAAGTTGCCTAATGTTACTGAGCTTCAGTTTCCTCATCTCTTAAAAAATATATGCCTCAAGGTATACCTAACTCTGTATAAGAATTAAATTAGAAGATATGTGAAGTTCCTATTGGAAAATATAACACAAAGTTGGTTCACAGTACTTGGAAGCTATTAATCTCCCCAATGATGGGAATGTTCTTAATATCCGTATTTTAGAAAACTGGATAAGTGATACACTGACAAGCTATTCATTTTAACCAAATTGGGAAGTAAACAGAAAACAGTGGCTCTGCTGTGCTCTAAAATGTGTCCTTGAAGACTGGCTGTGAATTAGTGTGTGGTCTCCATACATTGATCAGCAGGCTCTTGCTGAACAGATGACTTGCAGACGACGTTGTGTCACAGTCTGTGCAGTGCTGTCTAAGAGAATGTTCTGCAGTAATAGTAATGTTCTGTGTCTGCTCTGACAAAAGTGGTGGCTTCTGCCCACATGTGGCTAGTGAGCATTCGAAGTGGGACTAGTGCGTCAGAGGAAATGGATTTTTAATTTTTTTTAATTTTAGATCTGATATGAAATTCTTGATACTTTTTTTTTTTTTTAATTTTTATTTATTTATTTATTTTTTACCCCCAAAGCCCCAGTAGATAGTTGTATGTCATAGTTGCACATCCTTCTAGTTGCTGTATGTGGGACTCGGCCTCAGCATGGCCAGAGAAGTGGTGCGTAGGTGCGCGCCCGGGATCTGAACCTGGGCTGCCAGCAGCGGAGCGCATGCACTTAACCGCTAAGCCACGGGGCCGGCCCTCTTGATACTTTCTTATTGAAATTTTCTCCCTAGACGTCTGTAGCTCTAGTCTTCATTTTCTTCCCAGCTCTTTGGTGATTCCTGCTTAGTCTCCTTTCTAACCTTCTCTTCTGCTTCATTCTTTCCTGTTTCATATGTTGTTTCCAGTGTCTGACTCTGGTCTTTGATTCATTTTCCTTTCTGTGCTTTTCACAGAGGCCTTCATCTAAATCCATAGCTTCAGCCACCACTTATTTGACTGCTGATGACTCACAGAGAGCTTTCTTCCATCCGTATCTCCCTGCCTAACCCTAGACCTGTATGTACGGTTGCCCAATAGAGAGCTTCTTGACTGACCCAAAGGCATGCCTCAAACTCAATATGTCAAAGATAGAATTTATCTTTGCAGTCACATGCTCATATTTCCTGTCTTAGTAACTACATCATTCAGTCTAAAACCTGGGAGTCATCCTAGACTCTTTCCTTTTACCCATCCAAACATCAGCAAAATCTAGAGTTTCTTTCTCTCCATCCCCACAATTACTGCCATACTTTAAAATCTAATTACTTCTTGTTTCCATTATCTGTTGTGTGTAAGAAGCCACCCGAGAACCTCGCGACTTTAAACAGTGACAGCGCTTTATTTGCTCACAGTTCTGCACTGTGGTCAGGCTCAGCAGGGACGGCTCGTCTGTGTTGCACGTGGTCAGCTGCAGCCTCTCATCTCGGTGCATTTAGGTGGGAGCTTGACTGGGGCTCGAAGGTCCAAGATGCCTTTACTAACATGTCTCATGCCCTGCTTGCGTTGGCTGTGAGTGCTGGGAGTAGCTAGGCCTCTCTCTTCAAAGTTCTTTTCAGCGTTTTCTCATGGTATATATTGAATATCACTCTTGAGCCAGTATTTAGTTTTAGATGGACATTACCACTAGCCTTGGGCTGCATTCCCAAGCACGTATCAGTTATATAATCTTAGACAAATTATTTCTTTCAGTCTATTTCCTTATTTGTAAACCAGGGATCATAATATCTCTTTCACAGGGCTTTTGTGAGGTGCAGTGACATAATGTTTATAGAAAGCCTGGTATGTAATATATATTTAATAAGTCATTACTGCTAACTTGGGGAGTGGAGGAGAGGAACTACTACAGGTAAATCTGTTGATAATGGCAAAAATTGATAGCTGATACTGAGGGATAAGACAGAAGGACTAATAAAACTGGACATAAGAAATAAGAAGTGTTGGTGAGGATGTGGAGAAAAGGGATGTGGTGGGAATGTAAATTGGTGCACCCACTATGGAAAACAGTGTGGAGATTCCTTAAAAAATTAAAAATAGATCCTACCGTGTGATTGAGCAATTCCACTTCTGGGTGTTTATCCAAAGAAAATGATAACACTAATTTGAAAAGATATATGCACCCCCATGTTCACTGCAGCATTATTTACAATAGACAAGATAGGGAAATAACCTAAGTGTCCATTGATGGATTAATGGATAAAGAAAATGTGGTGTTTTTTAACACAGACACACACACACACTCTGCAATGTTATTCAGCCATTAAAAGAAGGAAATCTTTACCACAATATGGATGAACCTTGAGGGCATTATGCTAAGTGAAATAAGTCAGATAGAGAAAGATAGATACCATTTGATCTCTCTTATATGTGGAATCTAAAAATATGTATATACAGAGCTACCTTGGAGATATTAACAGTTTGGTTTCAGACCACCGCAATAAAGTGAATATTGCAATACAGTGAGTCATATGAATTATTTGCTTTCCCAGTGCATGTAAAAGTTATGTTTACACTGTACTGTAGTCTATTAAGTGTGCAATAGCCTTGTGTCTAAAAAAATAATGTACATACCTTAATTAAATACTTTATTGCTAAAAAATGCTAACCATCATCTGAGCCTTCAGCGAGTCGTGATCTTTTTTGCTGGCGGAAAATCTTGTAAAAAACGCAATATCTGCAAAGTGGGATAAAGTGAAGTGCAATAAAACGAGGTATACCTGTATTAAAAAAAAAAAACTAAGCTCTTAGATGCAGAGAACAGATTGGTGGTCGCCAGAGGTGGCAGGGGTAGAAATGGGTGAACTGTTCTTGTTTGTTTTTTGTTTTAAATAAATTGAAAAAAAAACATTGCACATATTTGGCAACAGGTTGGACACAACAAAAAGTTGTTGAACTGGAAAATGCATCAGAAGAAATTATCTAGAACATACCCTGCAAGGAGAAAAAGAAGAAAAATAGAGATAAGAGCATAAGAGGTATGGAGGATATAGTCAGAGTTCTGACATTCGTTGATTAGAGTTCCAGGGAGATGAGAGAGGCATATTCAATATGTGAAGTTGTAATTGTTTGGAAGGTTTTGGAACTGATGAAAGGTACCAATCCTCAGATCCAAAATGCTCAGTTAATCCCAAGCAAGATAAATTAAAATGAATCTCCTTGTACACACAATATAAAGGAACAGAAGAACACCAAACATAATGGGGAAATTAAAAAAACGAAGGGGTCTGGAAAAATAAAATGCCTCAAATGAGCAGCAGTTAGACAGACACTTGACTTATAGAACTTGTCAAAAGCAAGAATAGAAACAAACATTATGATGTTTGCAATATACTAAAACAAAATAATAGCCAGCCTCGTCTTCTATACCTGGTGACATATATTTTTTTCAAAATTAAAGATAAAATAAAGATTCTTGCATTAAAAAAAAAAACGATATAAGAACTCAAATCATTACCATTTGGGCTACTTTGTAAAAGGCAGACAAGGCTCATATCTTGTAACTACATTCCTTTAAGAAATACTTATTATGGAGCAGACATGAGTCCTTATCCAGATAGTGGGTAAGACCACATGCATATGACGTATAAAGTGAATGAGATGTGAGAAGCATACATAATATGCTGTAGGAGTTGAGGGAAGAAAGAACTAAATGACACGCAGGGTGTCTGGATGACTGCAAAGAGGAGACGACATCTGAAATTTAGGATTAGGACCCACATATGCAGCAAGAGGAGGGAATTCTAGGTATAAGAAACAACAATATCAAAGACATGGGGTTATGAATGAATGGGCTATGTGAGGTAAGCAAAGTGTTGATGTTTTTAAGCAAAAGGTGAGTGAAGAAGAGTTGTAGGAATTCAGTGTGTGAGGTTGGGATGGGTCTCAATCATGGAAGGCATGGAGTACTAGGTGTAGTAGTCTAGGAATAAATCTAGAGCTTATTCCATAGTTGAAGTCATTTAACAGTATTCTTTTTAATTCATTCATTATGTTTTGTTTAAGAAATCATTGTCTTAATTCCATTTTTCTAAAATTGTCTACTACAACTGAGACCACAAGATGTTTTGAAAAAAAGGGTTTCATGTGCAAATGGGTTGAGAGAATATTGCATTTTGTATCCTTCCATTAGTAAGTTACAGTTCACATTTATGTATTAGTCTCAGAAAAGTTTATTGTAAAGATATCTGATTTTGTTTATTGAGCTGTTTTCTAATTTTATATATTTTAGAAAGAAAACAAGGATCTAAAATTGGTAAATAAAATTTTGGGTTTTCATGGGGTAAATTCTTGGGTTTCCAGAAAATTTTGGCTCTCTAGAATTATTCCTTCTTTAAAGATTCTAGCTAGCTGAGCTCTGACTTTAACAAAATGTGTATTTTACTCTTTGAAGCCTAAAACAGTTTATAGATGGATCAGTTGTGGGAGTCTTGATAAACTGGAGTATAGGCCTTAAACTATATACATTTTCAGTTACTCTTATGTGTCATCTCTTATATTCACTCTAATTCTGTTGAGGAATTACAATTTTAGGTTAGACAAA